GTAGCAGGCGTGCGCTGCGCTCTGGCTATGGACATACCGGGCATGCCAGAAAGTGGTAATCGGCCAGATGTTATAACCCGGGCAGTTCAAACTCCTTCTGTGTCCTTCCTTCATGTTTAGAGCAAGCGAAACCCAAGGTAATCATTACAAGGAGATGTTATACATTATTGGTACAATGATACAAGTACTTCAGTCACAACCGAGAAACGAAACGTCTGGAAGCGTCAATGAAAATAGATTGTTTGCAAGGACGTCATACCCATGGCATCCATCGATCCGCCATCTTTGACGTGGACCGTGTCAAAACGTGCGCCATTTTCTTCTAGGCTTGGATAACTTATTTACGAGACTGTTATACTCTCAGTGGTTCCGTTCAACACAACAGGGTCATCAAGTCGTTCATTACGAAATGTTGGCATTCTTTTGATATGGAATTTCTGTCAAATTAACCAAAACACAACTAATGGTTTTGAACGTCTCCATTTCTACTCTGAAAAAAAAGTATGAACAAAGCTCAAGAATTCCTTGCATAGATAATGAACTACACAGATAAAGAATCCATGTCTTTCGAAACAACAAAGGGGGGGGGACTCCAAAGACTACTCCATAAACTTGATAACAACCTGTCTGTCAGAACAAGTGATAAAGTTAACAACTAAACGTATGGTTTTGTACAAAAGAATTGGTATAAACTTGGCTATTTTTTAAACAAAAATGTTGTTGCTGCCAGTCTGTTTTTGACTGAGCTACCGCAAGGTATTTTTTCTCTTATACACTTCATCTGACTAAACTGTTTAAGACATTACACTTACTCTAGGGCCATCCACGAATCTCCTTTGAAAGAATTGAGCTCGTTGAGGTAGCGCCTTGTTGCGTTGTACAGAAAATTAGTGTGGGAGTTGGCAATGATAACACCAAAAACAAATTCCAAATGCTGGGGCGTCAAATAACCAGGATCATAGGGGTCAAATCAACTCGTGTCCCACTGGGGCTACTCAAGTGTGACGCCAAAATACCCCATAGGTTTCGACACTTTCGTGTCTGAACTAATAACGTCCAAGCTGAACCCGAATAAGCCAGGCTACACGCGTGGTCTGCATGAAAGGCTGTCCTGCCATACTGTTTACTAGAAAGCATAAAAGTAGTGCTGTAATCGAGTCCGTCACAAGTCATTCTGTCCTTAGCCAGTCCACAGGTAATTCAAATGAGCTGTGACTAAAGCATTCTTTCGTCATTGTTCACCTTTTACTTATGACTGGCCTTGCGAAGGGACTTGTGAAAGGACTTGTGATGCACTCGAATACAGCCCTTCATAAAAGCACATGGTGCTCATGTATTAGCGCCAGGCGGCGATAGTTCAAATCAATGCGCGTCGAAACCCTGCAGCGTCAACCTGAAACTAACTCCCCCCATTTGGGGGCACCGTCTTTCCACGGCAGACACTGCAAGTTACGAACCGTTTATCCCCTTGTTAAGTAGAAAAATCTTGCAGCATTTATCGTACACAACTGAAATTACACTGAACATGGAACAAAACTACGTTTCCAGTAGTTCTCTGTCCTCTCTTCGCTGGAGATCAATACATACAACACGCGTTTATAGGAAAAATGGCCCGAACCGAAACACTGGAAACTACATATTTTGAAGATTTAAATTCAATTCTCAGAATCCTGATTGACGGAGACAGCAAATTAAGAACCCCTAAGCGAGTGTCTCAAGCTGACGAAAAAAAAACCACCAGGAAGACCAGGACTTTGTATCTTTACATAGTAATTTGCATATGTTAACAGTACAATTTACATATGATATGCAAATGATGGAGGTCAATGTAAGTAATCTCGCGACAACCCTTTTTTTGTTGGACCTATTATTTTATTTTTTTTTACCATTACGCTATATCTGTCTATCTTGTGCAATGTACTCGAACCGTTAGACAAATTTCCGAGATATCTTAAGTTTCGGTCACAAAATTAAAGCCGTTAGCTCTTGTTTGGCTCGGGTGTTTTTATAACAAACAAAGTAAAATAGCTTTCCAAAACGGCATCTACATGATTCATTTTTTTCTTCCTTGTGCACGCGCCTAGTCGAAAAATACAGATTTTTTTATGCATTGTTAGGGCTCTTGTGCAGCGGGTGAACACGCAGACGCATGCTCATTTCATCTGGGCGGTGCCAGAGGTAGACGTCTTCGCAGCCGTTTTAATGGTGCTCGTGCTGGCACTACCGCCGGCGCCCTTCGGACCCTTGCCGGCCTTGGCAGCGCTGTCACCCTTGCAGCCGTGCTTGCAGAAGAGCTGCAGCTTCATCACGTGGTTGTAGATCTTGAGGGCGGGGCCTAGCTTGAGTGACAGGCCAGTGAGCACGTCTAGACGCTTCATGAGGAGGAGGGACTTCCCATCAATCTCCTGGAATGGGAAACAAAGCGTTTAAAGGGTTTATATGTATCACCTGTTTTCTCAAGTTGAAAGGGCCTATGTTTTATTGAATAGAACTGAACAGTAGAGTCACTGGAGGTCTGAAAGTGGCAAGTTGATGACATCAGAAGTAGAACTGCGCATGCCAACGCACACCATTTAAAGAGTTGTGTATGCCTTGTCGGTGATGTTCTCCCGTTGCTATTTTTCGTGTGAATGTTACCTTTACAGGAAAGAAATTCCTCACAGCTTTGGAGAGATACCTTTAAATCTCTTTGGACCGAAACAAAGGCATCTCAACAGACTTTCATCATGATGGTGTCATGTTTGTCTTGCTCTTTGTAGCCCCTTTGGCAATAGCAATACAACTTCACATATTGATAAAAGGGAACAGACTAGTTTTCCTTCCAGTCTCAGTTTGGTTACATTGCTTTGAATGGTAGAAAAGCAAGATGGCTGCCTCATGATTGAGGTCTGTGAAGCAGCAATCTTTAACGATCGCAGGTTGCCCCTCCCTCTGTCTTTAAAATCACCTTGCGTTTGGCCTATTCACTGTTTTTCTACTCCGTAATGATCAATCTGCCTTCCAGATTCCAAACTATATTCCAATTGCTTCAAAGACCTACCGTACCATTCTTGATTTCAAGTTTTTGATTTTAGATCAGTGGTTTCTTGCATGACTTTCTGTTACGATTATAGAAAGCCATGCAAAACTCATTGTTCTCATAAAACTTCATTTTTATTCCGGTTTGTTTTACATCACCCTGGTCGATCAGGACATTCTAAACTGTCAAATTGCGTGAGGTCTCTATTTGCGGTGGATTGTCAGCGGACTCTGAAGAAAAACAAATGATCCAATTTTGGTCGAACTTAGAAATAACAAGAATGAGCATTGAACCACGTGGTGTTCATTTGGTGATTAAAGGATCATCCGAAAGTCATCCAGCTACCTGTTCCTGGAAGACGGCGCTCTGCTCCGGGAAGCCGTGGTCCGCGAAGTACTTGACCACGTCCTCGATGCTCCACTCCACGGGGTCGGTCAGCGGGTAGTCACGGTTGCTGCCGGACGAGGCCGACTGCTCTGGAAGACGGGCGGCGTTGGACATGCAGGGCGTGGCTACGTCCGGACTGACTTTGCCCGGAGTCGAGCCGCTAAAAATACAGGATAAAAAAAAACAGAGAGCAGAAGAACGCCACGATCTGTTACACTGTCGGTGTTTAAAACATCTCTTCCTTGGTAAAAAAAAAAGCTCTTTGTGTTCCTTGGAAATGGATGAACTTGTGATCAAATCAACCATGATTATTGTGAGAAGCATACCGAGCGTTCATCGATATTCATTCATCGTTTAACCTTCAAGACTTCAAGTGACGACGTCAAATTTGGCAAAGCAAACATCCGTGAGGTTTTATGCAAAAGCAGCGGTGTCAACAAAATTTAATATTCCAAATTCCTGAAGTTCGCCACCCTGTTGGGGACTGCCTTGGAAATTAAAATTTAAAAAGGCAACCGCGGGGAGGCCGTTTTTAATTTTTGTTATACCAACACTATGCAAATTGATAGATGCTGTGTTTCTCATTCATAACGCTTAGCTAGCTGCCAAATATCCCGGCAATTAAGTCATAGTCCTACCTTACTTCTCTCGAGGCATCGTTGACAGGTGGAACGGTGCTGCTCTCGGACGGTGAGGATTGTACACTGTAGAAATCTGCACCGACAAGGGGAAACCAAACACCGTGAACCAAAACTGATTGGTTGGCCAGAACTGCACTTGTGTCGTAGCAACAGAAAGGTTTATAATGTAGGACATGGGGCGGGACTACGCTGGCGCATGCTCTTTGAGGTATGCGCCCATTTGGACAATTTGACCAAAATAACGAATATGACCAGCTTTACCTTCGTTGCTTGAAAGCACGGCGCTACCGTCGCTCGAGTAATACTCCATCTCTTCGTCTCTCTCGCAGGTGAAGCAGACCCACTTGCCTAAAACAAGAAAGATTTGATTTCAGAAAACTGCTCAAAGAGGGACACGTTCAGTGGAGCCAAGAGCCTTCATTTAATCTGACGACAGACATGGATATCCATGGTATTTCTCCAATATCAAAACCATCGTTTTGGATGTCTTTCCGCAGTTCCGTGCTATATGAGCCTGCGCGGAAATCAACGACAGCAGACACAGTGCTCTTTATCATTTGGTAAAGCGACAATTTTAGGATTTGGCAATATTGTTGTTAGTCGAATATCAGCACGATGTCTGATGTGTCGAGTATCGAGACAGAGTGCCATAAACGGTCTAGGATTCAGCAAATGTTGCATGGGATAAAAGTAAGCATGACAAAAAGGGTTGTATCTTGAGTCCATCTTGGATGGGGAAACTCACCTTCGGGCTTTTTAAATACCGGAGGGTGATGACAGGCCATGTGATAACCCTTGTCGCACGAGTCACAAAACAGCAGCTTGTCCTGTGGTCATATCATCCGGGTCAAAGAAACAATACAGACATTTTAGGACAACGCTTTTTCCTCTGGAAAATCCTTGCACAGTCGTAAAAAAAATTTAAAATTAAGATAGCTTACAGAGGGCGCTTCGTTGCCTAGTAACTATATTTTGGGAGCAACACCACAATCTCAAGTGTTTGTCTGACAGGACTGGTCTCAGTCTCTCCAAACTTGTTTATAACCCCGTATAATTAAGGAGATAAGAACCAGACGGTTGGAACAGCCTTTCATGTTGCCGCGGCAGAGGGCGTGATTGTGCTCGGAAGAACGTGATAGTGGTTTAAAGTCGACCATTATTAACCAATCGTACCTGGGAGGCAGGGGAGGTCACTGTACTTACAGCGTCTCCGGACTCGTTGCACACCAGGCACGTCTTGCAGTCCATGCACTGCCAAGGCGACAGGCGCGACCGCTCCGCCAACTCGACCGAGTAACGCATACATGATGGGTGAACTGCACGTTGGAAGGAAACATAATAAGGAAAACGAAAACCGGACAGTGTTATTTCTTGAGGGCGATATTTCGCACTCAGTTTTGTAAACTTCCAGAACAAAATGGCGTCAAATAGAGTTTGTTGTTACTATTAAGTCAGACACAGGACCAGGGTCAACTCATTTGAATTTTCATTATTGACACACACATGCGATAGGCTCCACATCTCGTGCATTTGGCAAATTGACCAATCGGATACAGAGGATGATGGCATTGCGACCAATGAAGTTTCATGGTTGGGGTCGTTGCCGGCAGATTCTCTGACGTTACATGTGGTGAATAAAAGCGATGAACGACACCGACACTTTCTGATCATATAATAGCAATTTGCAAACTTTATACATGTGCTAATTGGATGAATTACTCAGTGAACGGGAAGAAGAAATAGCCACGATTGAAACAACTGATTACTCTGATGTAACTTTATGGCCGGTTAACTTATATTTTTTCAATATCCTAGCCCGTAGAGGGTTAACATGGCTACCATCTTGCATGGCTACCATCTTGCAGGCCAGGGTTTCAGTTGCACGTCGTTAAAGATTATATTCCTGTGGAAGAAAAGAACTGCCCTACAAGATGGCTTCCATGGCCAGTCTCTGTAAGGAACCATTTTGAGCAACGCTACGTACCGGTAAGCGCTCGGCAAAGTAATTCTGGGTATTAAAAACAGTTTTGTGCAATGAGATGCTTGATATCTGATTAGACAAGATAATGGCATTTACCTTTCAAGTTGCAGTCTTTACAGATAAGTAACTCTTCGGCGTCGCCGAACTTATTGCAGCTGGCATTGTAGGAGCAGTAGTCACAGCGCTGGTCGGTCGACGGCTGTTTGCAGAGTGGCTCGTGCTCGAAATCGGGGCCGTGCGTCTTGCGGATGCGCTGTGTGAACCACAAAGAAACCATGATAGAGGAGCCGAGCGACACTCACGTAAAGGGGTCTCGGAAGGCGTCATAAATCCGCTATAAACATTTCGTGCCGTCTGGAATGGAGTCTGGAATGGGATTTTGCCCGCTACAGGGAAAAGAAGTCGCCTCGATCCCACTTCCGAGAAATCTGTAGTGACTACTGTGTGACATCGCGAGTGCGGGGAGGTGGTGTGTGTTACCAAAGGTCGCGTGGGACTTTCGCTACGCGGCACTCTCACTGACGCATGACCCATGTGACCCGACGTACATCCGCCACCGACGAAGGCAAAGGCCACGGTGCAGCGCACCGCGTCGGTAGTTTACAAATGACAGTGAGCCTCTCTGAGAGGAAAGAGTCAGCACCCAATTTTATAGGATACACACGATCGATAACGACAACTTTGTACTGCATACGAGGTGACCATGACACCATTTGATTAAAAAAAAATTACCTAGGACGTCACGTGGAAATAAAACTGTCTGTCTCATATCATACAACGTGGCGTGTCCGGCGAGGAATTCAAATGTGATTCAAGTAGCCAAATATACCGGCCTCCCTTTCAAGCAAAATGTTTCCGTGGTAACCTTTTTCGAGGAGGTTTTCCGGAGAAAAAAAAACTGCCCGCTAGGTGTGATATCGTTTAAATTTTCATTTTTTTTATTTCTAAAGAACCTTGTTCGCCGGCCGACGTGATTTTCAAGCGCAGCTCGTGAAAAGCAACTGACATGTGTCTGGTAGCCCGTCAGTTGACGTCACCAGCTCGCGCAATTCGAGTGCGACTCGCCGATGCGGGGCTTCCACGCGCACGCTGCAACGCCCCTCCCGTCTCGACAATTTTCCTCGTAATTATCTTATCGCGCGCATAACGACCCACAGCCCGTTAATAAATCACAAGAGCATGCGCGGGGGGCACGGGAGCGAATTGATCGCCAGTTTTGCGACGGAGAAGTCGAAGTGGAATTGCACGATGCGAATAAATATGTGTCTGTCCAGCGCTTTATCTTCTTAGCAGACTTTTCAGCGCCTTCACAGCTTACATGTCAACAAATTGATTGTGTTTGTATCAGATAAACGATAACCATAAACACAATAAAACTGTTGAAGAGGAATGTTATGGTTTAATGCTAAGTGTGTTTCCTAACTTAAAATATCTTGCATTGATTTGTTCCCATAAATGAAAAGAAAATTCTCTGTCTTTTTGAGTCAATACAGATTATTCATGATTTCCAACGAAAGATGGAAGGCTTCACAGGCTCTTTACGCGCCTTTCAAAGGTTGGAATTTCGACTCTTTTTTCATCAGTGAAGAGAAAAATCACGGATTTGATGATCCTTCCCGAAATATTTCTGACTCATTATTGTCATAGGAAAGAGTCGACCAGGTGCTTCCTGAAAAAAAGAAAACAACTATGGTGCAACTTTAACAAATTTCTGAGGGACATTTCTTTCATTCTTGATCAAATATTTTACCCTTCGTTGGTTAATCTATTTTACTCAGTCATGAAGTGTTTTCTTTGGCAAAGTCACTTATTCATCAGTCTGGACTCTGGACTGCGGTAAAAAAAATCCTTGCCCTATAATATTTTCAGTCCAAGTGTATCTCAAATTTCGACCTTAATTACTTTGCCCAAATGACCACAGAATCATGACATCAAGATATTCGATGTGCAGTTTTGTAGCACGTCTTGCGAAATTGCGAGAGCTCCTCACGGCGACGTGACCGATATACTTCGCCCCGAGTCACTGGTCACCGTGCGCCGCGCGGAAAAAACGGCGCGAACGGAATCAATAAACATCCCGCACATCGCACGCACTACCCTGCCATGGAAATTCGTTTATAGAAGTGAGCTTGAAGAGAAAAACCTCGCCCATTAACGAAGGACCAAGAGAGGAATAGTGATTCTTCACGGTCACGAACTGTGTTTTCGTCCACACCTTTCATTCGTTTTGCAGGAGAGCAATTGGTAATTCTAAATGAAAAATGCGATGTCAACGGAGAGATCTAATGCCAATTAACATAATTAATACGATTTCCATCTCTTTTTTGGGGGGAAACATAATCGACCGAAACGAACGAAGGGACTTCAGCGTTTCGCCTATGGCCTATTAGGACCTACTCCAATATAATACGCGCGGCCGTACCTCATATACCACACGCAAAACAAACGGTCAAACGGCTACACGCACCAATTATCTTCAATCGCAACATCGAAACCGTCAGTTGCATTGTTTTTACATTATTCTCAGTTCAACGCGGAAGGCCTTGAGTGATTCATTCAAAGGAAATTCGACGGGCTGTAACGAGCGCAGAACACCACGCAGACTGCACTGGCAACGGGGCATCGATCTCCTTAAAATACTTTGGGCGCGAGAAAAACCGCGCGCGCGCATTATTATTCAAACTCATAACTTCTGTTGCTGTTACACACTTGTGTTACTTCACAACATGTACATGTAAGAGACATGACCAAGAGCCACGGCAATAGCCGGTATTAAATCTATGAATGGGAAATGATTGGCGATAGTCGGGTGGCCGGTGCCGGCTGCACGTACACAAGTAGATGTACTGTACATATACCGCACTGCACAAAGGCCTACTCGCTCGCTAAGCGCTCATAAAGAGTTGCTGCTCTGTGCCACATCCAAGCGTAACTCATTAGCATATGCGCTTTGCCCGTGTCTAAACCGTACCGCCGCCGCGCCGAAAGGCCGACAGCCAACGGTGCGGGTGATGTGTGTTATGTGCGAGGTCGCAAAGGTTTTACTGTGACGTGCGCAAACAACGCAACACAAAGTTGCGAAGGTTTCATTTTGTGTGTGTGTGTGTGCCGACCGAATATAGGGTGTCGCAATAGCTGGAAACGACGCAGTTTTTTGGTTAAATCATGCTTTAAGGACCACATAGAGGATTCAATTCCGTAAAAGCCTGCATTAAAAGGGTGATCAGTTGACGCAGGGGTATCGATAAGCGCTTTATTGCTTTTCATATCATCCCATGGAAGCTAGTAAAGCTGATCACGTTAAAAAATAACGAACAACAACAAAAAAACATTTATTTTCAACTCAACCTTCTGATGGCATCAAATCATTGTTTCGTGGATCTAACATTTCCATCAGTCTGCAAACCACTGAGATCCCAAAATACTGATTACAAATTGGCTAATAGATTCGCCCAACGCATGGCAGGCCACGCAAAGACAGATCGGGAACGATATTTCTAAAGTAAAAACGACTACTTACAAGCGGTCAAGTTACAATCACGCAGAATGCGCGAACAATTATTTATCCCGTCCGCTCCCCCCCCCATCTGGATACAGGGCGCGAAGCAATCTTCGGTATTAGCCACGACACCCGCCGCGCGCCCAGCACACGATGTATCTTACTTCATAGCTTATCCTTCGTATTAAGGGGGGGGGGTCAACGGGTTTATAGATTCGACCGCGTGCCGTTCACATCAAGCCCAGCCGCGCGGCATTCTCTGTGATCATTAAACATGGCGGTCGCTGTTATAACACAGCTTTCCTTTTCTTTTAATCTGCGCGCAGTGACCCGTCATTTTTCGAGCGGATGTACTGTAACATTATACATTTACACTCAAACAAATTCGCGCTTTTTTAACACAAGAAGGCTTTTCCCGCACACAGTTGCCAATAAAACAGGTCTTTTCAATCCCAAAATAGTCAGAAAATAAGTGCAAAAAAATTCATTTTGAAACTGGTTCAATTCTTTCCATGCACAGCACGTGAAGTATTCCCCCATTGCCGTAGTCTCAGTGCGCTACATTATAGAACGCTTTCCATTTCGAGAGAAAAGAAGTGCCAAACTAGTCAAATCCGGTCCAGAAAAAAAAGATCTACAGTTATTGGGGTCTGTTTCAAATCTCCGTCACTTCCAAACGCGGCAAAAAATCGTTTCCGACTGATAACAACCGGACCGATCACGGGCGTTGAATCAGGTGCGTCGGGCGGGCACAATGCAGTCCAAAAGGGCCCCAGCAATGCAAAAAAAAAATCACGCACACGGCGCGGGTCAAGGACTCAACGCGGCTCGGATACTCTCGACTCAAACCGGGTACGTCCAGCCAAAATTTATTGGTGTTGCACGTGACGAAATTCTGACTCTTTGGAGAATAATTATGCGCGCCCGGTGGACAAATCAATAACCAGAATCAGTAGCGTCAATAGGATGAAATTTCAGGACAGGTTTTCTTTCATCGAGGGGGGCACTGAACGCCAATTTATATCTGTGGCGTGAGCACACGGGCTGTTCATTTTAAAATAAAACAAATTTGGGGTATTACCCGGGATGTGCAGAATTTAGCTAACCATCCCCGGTAATCACGCCGCAAACCGGGCCGTGCAATTGAGAAAAGATTTGGAGTAATATCCACGGCATAGAGAGGGTTCGGCATTCGCGACTTTGCGGTTTAGCACTCTGAAGCGCGTGTGAAGTCGAATTTCTTCTGCATGAAGCTTATCCGCGCGGCCACGCATCCAAGCGGTGACGTCATCGAGTTAGGGCACTTCCTTCTGCATGCGCCATCTTGGGATAAGGTGTGACTACACATATTTGGGGGAAATCGCAGTCTAGGGCAGTTTTTCCCTCATTTAACTCGACAAAGTCAATTAAGTGAACTACATTTAATGTTTTTCCGCGATTCCTTAGCTACTTTTGCTTTAGGACATAAGGCCTGCTTCAGTCATGGAGATTTATTTCTCGTCTGGAAACCATGTGAAGACGTCTGTCGCCAACAGCCTTACATATATTTGTTATGCACATAAAGACCAACATACCGATGACGTAATCTGACCTGCTCAAAACGCATCAGTTGACGTTGCGATTGCGACTTTTACTATTACATGAGTTCCTTATGGTCACAATAATTACCGATTTCAACTTCAAGTCTCAAGACTTGTCCGTTAGAGCGTTGATAGTTATCTAAAAACGGCAGTTTTCCGAGCAGTCAATCAAAAAAGACAATAGAAATACAGTTTGCGCACAAAACAAGGAAGTATTTTACTGACAGTTGGGTGAAACCTACAGTTGCTAAGATCTCGTGATCAGACTGTACAGAACAGGAATTTACATAAATTTCGTTGACAGGAAAAGTACGATATTGTGTATCTCTACGAAAGGGTTTTGCTCCCTGAGAAAATGCTGAAAGGTAAATGCAAAATACAAATGAGGATCTAATTGTGGGAACGATGTTGTCAATGAACGATGTTCCTCTATCAAAATCTAGAACTGACATGTTTCCTCCCTCTGATCCCTGGATTAGTGTTGATGCTTTTTTTGGGGGGGGGGGGCTCGAGCCACCCACCATGCATGCGAACATCATGGCAAGCCTACACGATGGAATACGGAGGTGCATTGCCAATATCGACTGCGATCAAAGTCTAATCGTTATTTTGGTTCTCTTCATGGTCCAGTGCGCGGAGATAACACGCGCAACGTGAATAAAGCGCTGCGCTGCTGCTGGGGGAAAAAAAGCTGAGACATAGGCCTATGTACAATACGTGTAACCAGCCGGATTCTGGAAACGACCTGTATGAATATTCATGGCGTAAACGCCGTGACACCAGGTGTGGCAAACAATCCAGGCGGACATCGAGCATTGTGCACGACACGTATTGGCCTACATGCACGCCGCATATCCTCCTGTCCTAACTATGGGCACGATATGCGGCGAGTCACCTTTTGCGGTGAACCTTAAAAATAATTCTTGCAGTTCGTTCCACGTAACGGAAATCTTGTTTCCCACATCCCAAAAGTGGCCCACGTACAATTACCTGATAAACGTTTACTTAATGCTACAGTACTGAGAAGAACACTAAGAGTTTAATTGAAGCAAAAGACGGTATGGAGCTTCAATTACAAAGCACCGATCGATGCTAAAATGAAACAAAGTTGATACTTTTTGTGACGTAGCCAGTGTCTTGCGCGTCTTCATCAATGCAATAACTGGAAAGTCCCGCAGTACATTACACTATTTTTTTTACCTTTCGCTTCTTGATGCGGTCCACTGTTTTGAACACCGTGCCGACCGGTGCTGGGCCTGAAGTTGGCCGTTCTACGGCCACTCCGGCCGGGGGCAGCGCATACGTGCCTTTGCCTACTTTGACCAACCGTCCGCTGAACACCTCCCGGTCCAACGCGTTCTGCAGTCGCATCTTAATGGTCAGTTTGGTGTCCGGGTCAAGGGTGAGCAAGTGCCGTTCGATGTCTTCCATTTGAACCGCTTGTCCCTGCTTGAAGTCTTGGCGTGCCGCGGCAGACGACGTGGAGGCTTCATCTTTTGCTCGACTGAGTTCTTCCACGGCTTCCAACAATAAGCGACTTGAATCTGTCGAGTTGAGCCGAATACCGCTAAGGTGACTTTGCTTCCATTTACTGGCATTGCGGTAGCTTGTGCTACCTTTGTACTCCACTTTAAACACGACTTCGTCGTCTACTAAGCGCTCCAACTCGCATTCAACTTCGGCTGCACTCACGCCATATTTTCGCTCGACCATGTGGCATATTCGCTCGAGATCTGGCCGGGCTTTGCGACGACGGAGCGAGTCGATCGTGTCCAGAATCACTTCTTGGTTGGTCTTGGCACCCATTTGCGTGTGTGCGGAGGGATTTCCGATTGTTTTCTGCCAAGAAATTTGCGAAAATGTTCGCCGTGTTGGACGCGCAAAATATTTCTCCGTTGTTAGAACAGCAGCCCGCGAATCTAGATTGTGCGCATGCGCTCTTCATCGGATCAAATAACAACGGCTGTTGTATGTGCTCCATTGTATACGAGGGCTGAATATTAAACCGAACTATATACAATCATTAATGGCACAATGTGAGGAATAAAAACGCTCAATTACGTTGTACTCCAATGAAATAAAGAAATCATATTTGGATTTTCTGGTTGAAAACTAAACCATAGTATAAGAAAAAGAGACAATAGGAATATTCGCCAATCAGAACTGAACTTCATCGATTCTTGACTTTTTTTATTTTATAATTTTCAAACACTAAAACAATTTAAATATAAAAGTCAAATTTATCTTTAAATTTTTTGGAGTAACTATTTTATCTTAGCAAAAACTCCTTTTGGTAACTGACTTGTCACTGTTTGCAAGTTAGCCAGGCCCCTAAAGAAAACCACGTGAAATTTGTTTAGGTTGGGATGTTTGTCTCCGACTTTGCGCGTCCCGCGTCCATTTTGCATATTTGGACAAAGCTCCCCAGGCTATACTGACTCGACTCTAACTCGAAAGGTCAATTTCATCAAAGTGCATGAGGAATTTTAGCTTTTGGCAATCGATGAAGTGAGCGACCTGTTTCATTGCAAATCTTCGCTTATCGTTTATTTCAATACAAAAGGCACTTATTGGTCATATTTGTTTTGCTTTTTTCGCCTCAACCCGAGCTTAAATGAGAACCACAGGGCCTGAAAATTCTAAAAATATTTTTAACTCATTTTAAAAAAAGGAAAAGGAAGGTCTGTTGGATAGAATTATGTCGTTTCATCTTGTTTTGAAGTTTTCCTGGCAAAAGAGCCAGAAAGTTGACCACTTATGGCGCCCTCCCGAAACCCGTAAATATATTACAACAATAAGATATGATAATATTTTTTCATTCCTCCGGAAAAGGCCTTGGTGAAATATTTACTGGCATTTTGATTATAGAAACCGAAAATTGCCTGACCCGAAAGAGAAATATTGTGCCAAAGACTTATGACCTCTAATTCCCGAATATCTGAATGCACAACGACCCGTGCAACTCAGTGGAATCGTATACAGATATGAATAATTACGAAATTGTTTTGTAGCAGTCTTTAGGTAAACTGCGGGATGAAAACAGGGGAATAAAATAAGTTAGCAGTTTGAATTTTTTATGGAAATGAACTCCAAGGAATCAATCAAGTTGCATTTACTAAGAATTCTCAAGTCTAATCTGACCTTTGCTAACTGCATCAGGCCTGCCTCACTGAATCTTGAATCTATCGACTGTGGGTATAAGTAACTCTTCGCAAGGCTACATTCTCGTTTTCACGTAAATACATGCTTTTACATAGAAGTGAAAATAAAGAGACATGAACAAGGATGCACGGGAACGATAATGCCGGAATTGTAAGGTCATTAATGAAGTTCGTTAATATTTACCAATCTGAAGGTGACCTTTTTCACAATATTACTTAAAGAACGCGAGGATAAAATGCCAACATGAGTGTTTCTTGGGTCAGTTTTAGTTAGCAATCATTCTTCCGAAAGTAATAGAAAGTGATAGTGCAGTCCCACGTAAAATACCCACAGGCGGGTTGCGCGACGGTTCCGGAAGCTCGCCACATAAATAGATGTCACTGAAGGACTACGATAATGTTAGTTGCCAGTTCAGAGAATGAGCTAAGAGACGAAGACCGACTTTAAGAAATTAAATCCTCTCGTGTGCGTTATGGGGAGAAAGTAAGGAAACTTCACATTTCAGCCAGCGGTTCCAAGTAATCCTAGAACAGTCGTCGTAACAGAACGCTCCACAGTTGAATAGGTCACTGGGCACATGCGATACAATGTTACTGCCAAGTTTCCCACTCCGGACACAGTTATTTTTAAGTCTCACATTCTCGATTCTGCGATTAAATAATGACCAAAAGCACGCGATGTAAAAAATGTGAAAAAGGCATGTCATAACCTGACAGACGTCGAGTACAATAACCGTAAAGAAACGCAACAACAGACCAGACAAGACTTTTCCACTTCAAGCCGTCATTATTAATACGAAAGCACAGAATTTCCTGAAATGGTCACGTGTGAATTGTTGCGAGCTACGGTGGCCTTGAAAGAACTTGCGAGTTTGCTCGGGGTATCGCGCAAGGTAGTGCGTAGAAAAAAAGAAGAAGAAGTGGTCCATAAGTTTAAGCACTTAGGGACGCTTGTGGATGATAAACTAAATTGGAATTCTAATACAACTTGAATTTGATAAACAATTAAACCATAGGCTTTATTTTCTAAGGAAGTCAAAATCTTTTAACGTCAGTAATCAGATTTTAAAACTTTTTAATCAGAGCACTGTTCGGTCGGTAGTATTTATTTTGTTACACCAGTCGGTTCAATTCCCTCAAGTCGTGCAATCGTACAAAACTGCAATGTATAAGCATGAAACCCCAAGGATTATTGGTGCTGATTTTCCAACAGTCCAAGAAACAGCTCCGACAGATGCCTTGACTAAGTTTCCTGATATATTGTCCAATATAATTCACCCCCTCAGCCCTTTCATTATTCGAAACCGATCTAGTAGGGTGCGTCAACAAAGACATGTAAATTCTCCTTTCCACCATGGGCCATTCGTATTTTTAATTCATCTTTTACCAGAAAATGTTGTTTTTAGTTCACTCTACCCCCATCTTGTCCTGTCCTAAATCTGCCTCGCCTTCCCTGCCTCTTCCCTAACCTCCTCCTACCCCCATCCTCCCTTCTGAACCCCTCTCCTTGCCCCCATCCTCCCTTCTGAACCCCTCTCCTTGCCCCCATCCTCCCTTCGTAACCCCTCTCCTTGCCCCCATCCTCCCTTCGTAACCCCTCTCCTTCCCCCATCCTCCCTCACATTTTACCTTTACCTTATCTCCAATATTCCATTACCTAAACCGTTCTCCCATCTCTACCCTTAGCCCCCCTTTCTTATATCCACTGTAATTGTAGTTTAATTCATGTTTAATGTAAATTTGTGTCTTATTGTCATTTTTTTTATTTTTATATACATGTATTTGTATCATTTGCTTGTATTTAAACGTACACTGGGAAAGCCATTTTCGTGTTATGTTTTCATCATGTTAATAAACGTTTAAATCAGTGTTGTAGTCGAGACCACTTAAGACCTTCACAAGACCACACGAGACCAGCACAAGACCTCCAGTCTGCATTCAAATTTCAAGCTATTCAAATGAACTGCAACAAAAGCATTCCTTTGTCATTGTTCAACCTGTTACTT